AACACAAGAGACCAGCAGAGCCGGGAACTCGGAGCTCCCATGTGGATGTCACATCAGGGGCCCACTGGGACAGAACCTATGACCTAGTGGTGGGCAACCAATGGCTGATCAGCTGCAGCAGAACCTGAAGTCAGCCCAGGGGCCAAACATTCTGCCCATGAGCCGGAATCCAGCCCAATGTTTGGTGACAAATCCAACAAATCACATTCCAGACGTTTCCGCTTTGTTTTGGAGAGAGCCGGGATTGGGCAGAACCGGAGTCGTGTTTTATCGCCATCTGTGTCCCAATTGGGACGACTTCCCGTAAAGACAGAAAGTGACGGGAAACTCTTCCATAGAGACAGACAATCCCACATTCACAGCCGGGAGGGTTAGAACCTCAGCATGTTCTCTGTTATTTGTGTCTCTCCTGATGACAACTTCACCCCCATTACTTGTATGAACAGGAAGTGACGGAAGATTCCCCAATGGGACTATTGGCTCAGATTGGCTCTACATCCCCCACGTACACTGGCTCTACATCCCCCCCACGGTACACTGGCTCTACATCCCCCACGTACACTGGCTCATCCCCCACGTACACTGGCTACATCCCCCACGTACACTGGCTCTACATCCCCCACGTACACTGGCTCTACATCCCCGTACACTGGCTCTACACATGTATACTGGCTCAACATCCCATCTACACTATCCCCACGTACACTGGCTCTACATCCCCCACGTACACTGGCTGGCTACATCCCCCACGTACACTGGCTCTACACTACACTGGCTCTACATCCCCCACACTGGCTCTACATCCCATACTTACACTGCTCTACACCCCCACGTACACTGGCTCTATATCCCCCACGACACTGGCTCTACACCCCCACAGACACTGGCTCTACATCCCCCACGTACACTGGCTCTACATCCCCCACGTACACTGGCTCTACATCCCCCACGTACACTGGCTTTACATCCCCCACGTACACTGGCTCTACATCCCCCACGTACACTGGCTCTACATATACACTGGCTCCATCCCCCACGTACACTGGCTCTACATCCCCCACGTACACTGGCTCTACATCCCCCACGTACACTGGCTCTACATCCCATACTTACACTGGCTCTATATCCCCCACGTACACTGGCTCTATCCCCCACGTACACTGGCTCTATATCCCCCACTTACACTGGCTCTATATCCCCCACGTACACTGGCTCTATATCCCCCACGTACACTGGCTCTATATCCCCCACGTACACTGGCTCTATATCCCCCACGTACACTGGCTCTATATCCCCCACGTACACTGGCTCTATATCCCCCACGTACACTGGCTCTATATCCCCCACGTACACTGGCTCTATATCCCCCACGTACACTGGCTCTATATCCCCCACGTACACTGGCTCTATATCCCCCACGTACACTGGCTCTATATCCCCCATGTATACGGCCAAAAAACGAGCAGCTTGTTGCCCCCAATGGACATTCAGTTTGTATTTTGTTTTATATTCCCATTTTATGGAGCGGTAGAGCTTCTTTACAAAGGTATGTGATCCTTCACACGTCTGGGGAATCAGACTCCTCCCACCCCCCCCCCCCATAATCTATGTATGTACGATCATCCTCATACCGGGGAGTGCAGATGAAGCCGGCTGGATGACATGAACTGTACAGTCCGGATGATCTTCCCCGGCTGCTTCACCACCACTGGACAACATGGGCTGCGGAACAGAGAGGGAGGAGAAGACATCAGCAACGGGAACATCACAATGTGCACCTGAAGGCAAAACATTTTCTATGCAGTGCTGGATGGGGGAGGGGGGGAGCTGGGACCCTCATGTGTTATTGCTGTCTGTGTCCCCGTTAGGGAGATTCCCCCTCTGTGTCCTGGTGACCAGAATCATTGAAAGTGAAAGAAAATCCCAAATTTTGGGTTGTCCCCAGAAAAGTAATAGAGGGGAAACCCTTCCAATGGGGACACTAGTTCTGGTAACCATGGTAACTATCAGAGATTCCTCCACTTTGGAGGGATTTCCTTTCACTTTCAGGTTTTATGGAATTCAATCAGGAAAACTCATCTTATGGTGACCAGAAGGATGTTTATTGCCACATATGGGGACCTCCAGGGGACACTGCCCACGAGGTGATATCCGGCCCACGAGGTGTCATCTGGTCCCCGAGGTGTCATCTGGCCCACGAGGTGATATCCGCCCACGAGGTGTCATCTGGTCCCCGAGGTGTCATCTGGCCCACGAGGGTGTCATCTGGTCCCCGAGGTGTCATCCGGCCCACGAGGTGTCAGCTGGTCCCCAAGGTGTCATCCCCCGGTCCCCCAAGGTGTCATCCGGTCCCCAAGGTGTCATCCGGTCCCCAAGGTGTCATCCAACAGAGGGAGTTATACATTGTAGACAGCAGACAGGATGGGCCAACAGCTTGGACAACTTAGACAGCAGAACTAATATGGGATGTCACACTACAGATACAACCACAGTACAGCCCCCCCCCCCCCCCCCCCACATCTGTGACAGAGGGCCATAAAACATTTAAAATTTCCTGTTTCAGCTACAAAAGGTCTTGGAGAGTTCATGACACAGAAGTGAACTATTGATTACCCGAGCCTAGGTGATACTTTGATAATCAGGTTCATTTCTTTAGCACAGTTTTCCCTACAGGACAACAAGAGAAAATCTCCCCAATTGGGGGTTACAACCCCTCCCCCTCCCCCACTCTATCCGAAATAAAAAGAAAAGTTTTGCCTGAAGTTCTACTCCAAACCTAAAGTACTGAGATCCCGAGCAAAAAACGGACACTCACCTTCATCTCCTCCTCCAAGCTGTACCGTTCCTTTGACCAGGACTCCACCTCGGCCAGTTCCAGGTCTTCTCTGACCGGCGGGTCATCTGCTTTCGCCTGGACACCTTCCTCCTTCTGAGAAACAGATGACATGAGACCAAGAAAACTAGAAGAATACATGAGGGCTCTGGCTTCACCTCCAACTGACATTTCCATTGTGTACAGATGGATGGAGTCACCCCTTGGACAATAATGGCCGTCCTGGGTGCATACACCAAGCCGGGCCCAGATCAGCCATTGTGTTGTCTATGGATGGGCCGGCACAAGGTCAAGGCCTTGGAAGTATGGATGTCAGGCATGGGAAGCTCTATGACATGTAAAGGCTCCTCAGCCCCGGGGGGCGGCCCATGATAGCTGTAATATGCAGACATGTAGTTGTCATTGAGGAGTCGGTCAGGATGGTAAAGGGAAGGCAATGATGATTATTATACAGGATTTGTCGTTTTGCAGATCTGAAGTGTAGAAATAAGACAAATCAGCAGATCATCAACAAATCCATTTTACTATCCGAGCTGAAATTCAGGCCGGAATACAAGCAGCGCCGCATTCTATAGAATTTAAACTCAACTTGGAGTGAGCAGAGAGAGGGGAGGAAGAGGAACCAAGAAGGTAAGCTGCATGCAATTACCAACAAGCTGGCAGGAGGAGAGAGCAGAGTGAGCAGAAACATCAACTCATCAGTTGGCTGCTGCTCCTCTATTGTCCGATTAGCAGACTGGGGCTGATTAGAAGACACCACTGTATTCATTCAAGTGGAACTTCACCCAAAAGGGGAAGTTCCGCTTATTTGTACCCTCCTCTTTAACATTTGGCACATTTTGGGAGGGGGGACCAGGTTCCCAATTTTCACAGATACCCACTCCCACATCCACTCTGACCACCTAGGCAATCTGAGCCAAAAGTTCGCCCCCCTGCCCTCCTTCCCCCGCAGCCTTCTGGGGACACACCACAGGTCCAAGAAGACTGCAGAACCATTCACACAAAACCCAGCGCAGCTCGCGAAAATGCAATGTGAAACTGGCTGTGTTCAATATGGAACGTGTGTTCAATGTGGAACGTTCACCAAACCAATCATATTCAATGTGGACATGTTCACCAACAAAATCATATTCAATGTGGAACGCTCACCAGCCAATCATATTCAATGTGGAACGCTCACCAACCAATCATATTCAATGTGGAACACTCACGTTCACCCAATCATATTCAATGTGGAACTCTCACCAGCCAATCATATTCAATGTGGAACCCTCACCAACCAATCATATTCAATGTGGAACTCTCACCAGCCAATCATATTCAATGTGGAACTCTCACCAACCAATCATATTCAATGTGGAACACTCATCAGCCAATTCAATGTCATATTCAATGTGGAATACTCATCAGCCAATCATATTCAATGTGGAATACTCATCAGCCAATGTTCATATTCAATGTGGAACTCTCACCAACCAATCAATCATATTCAATGTGGAATATTCAATGTTCACCAACCAATCATATTCAATGTGGAACTCTCACCAGCCAATCATATTCACACTCCCTCTCAACCCGTCCCCTCTCACACAGCTACCCCCTCATCCCCCCTCTCCCTCGACATAACCCGCAGGGACTTCGTCACTAATCTAACTCCCTCCAACCCCGCTCCCTCCCACACTGCTACCCCCCTCATCACCCCTCTCCCACGGCCCCACCATTGCTCTGACCTCCACTTCCACCCCACCCTACATTCCTCATACTGAAGCCCCCCAACACTCCGCACCTTTGACCTTACTACCATCGAGGAAGTCCCCAAGATCCTCTCTGAAGCCCACCTCACCACCTGCCCCCTCGACCCTATCCCCTCACAACTCCTACGATCTCCCTCCTCCCCCCTCCACATCTTTCCTACGCTAGCCCCTCACTGCGGGCCCCAGTTCTTTAATCTCTCCCTCTCCTTCCGGCACTTTCCCCTCCCCTCTGAAATGTGGTAAAATGCACACATCACCCCCATAGTTAAAAAGCCCTCCCTGGACCCCAATGACCCGAACAACCTCAGACCCATCTCCCTGCAACTTTCCCACGTCCCTGTAACTGCCCAAGAACCGGCCCCCATTTACATGCCAAACTCCTCGACCTGTGCCCTACTGCAACTCCCTCCTGCCCACTGGCCTGCCTCGCCGCTGGCTATCCCCTCTTCAGCCCACCCATCCTGAATACGGCTGCCAGACTCATTCACTTTTCGAACCGCTCCGTTTCTGCCACCCACCAATGCCCCCCTCTGCCAATCCCTCCAGTCAGTTGTCCTGCCGCCAGTCCACCCCCTCTGCCAATCCCTCCACTGACCTCCGCCTCAGTGTCCTCCACCCCCCTCTGCCAATCCCTCCCTGACCTGAAGGAGAAAAATTACCCACTCAGTGTCCTCCACCCCCCTCTGCCAATCCCTCCACTGACCTCCACTCAGTGTCCTCCACCCCCTCTCTGCCAATCCCTCCACTGACCTCCACTCAGTGTCCTCCACCATCCCCTCTGCCAATCCCTCCACTGGCCTGCCTCCATTCAGTGTCCTCCACCTTTCCTCCCTCTGCCAATCCCTCCACTGGCCTCCACTCAGTGTCCTCCACCTCCCTCTGCCAATCCCTCCACTGACCTCCACTCAGTGTTCTCCACCCCCCTCTGCCAATCCCTCCACTGGCTTCCGATTGCGCAACGGATCAAATTCAAAGTCATAACACTGACGTACAAAGCTGTCCACCATACTGCCCCGAACTACATCACTGACCTAATATCCAAGTACCACCCAACACGCACACTCCGCTCCTCACAAGACCTCCTTCTCTCTAGTTCCCTGGTCTCCTCCTCCCATGCCTGCCTCCAGGACTTCTCCAGGATGTCACCCATCCTCTGGAACTCCCTGCCCCAACCCATCAGATTATCACCTACTCTCCTCTCCTTTAGGCGCACCCTGAAAACCCATCTCTTCAGGGAAGCCTACCCCACCCCCTGCTAACTTTGCCGACCTCCTCCACTCTTCCTACCACCCCATCCCCCACAGCTATCTCCTCCTGTACCACCATCCCCTCCCTCCTAGATTGTAAGCTCCAGGATCAGGGCCCTCGATCCCCTCATGTTTTTGCATTGTATTGTTATTGTTCTGTCACATGTTCTGTCCCCCTCTGTAATGTACAGCGCTGAGCCAACTATGGGGGCTTTATAAATACTGTATAATAATAATGTGGAACACTCATCAGCCAATCATATTCAATGTGGAACGCTCATCAGCCAATCATATTCAATGTGGAACACTCATCAGCCAATTATATTCGATGTGGAACGCTCACCAACCAATCACATTCAATGTTTAGCACTCACCCGCACATCGCTGGGATTCTTCAGCTTCAACAGGGAGATGACCGAGTAGTAGAGCAGCAGCAGGATTCCCGGGTTGACATAAACCGGCCAATGGTGGCTTTGGTTCAGGATGAGCTCATCGACGCTCCCCGTGCAGTTGGAGTGATTAATGATGTCATTCAGGCCAAAGAGTCTGCAAGAAGAAGGCGGGATTAGACACGGACCGATGTCCACCAATGAGATTTATGACGATGAGCAGCAAAGATTACCACATGACACGTCATCTCACCCAAACCAAAAATTGTACATTTTGTGCAAATCTACCAGAAAAAAAGAAGCCGAGGATCAAACTCTTCCCACACTGTAAAGAAACGTTCTACACCCAATGGAACGTCCTCCTGTGTGGGTGGCCATGGCCCCTGGACAGCGAGGCTCATCGTCACTATTACTGGGTTGTAGCCCTTCCCTGGCCTGTCCAAACCTATAAAAGGCCTGGAGTCCTAATTACGGGTTCACTGGGAGATTAGGTGCTGGAGGGGAGTTAGTGTGTGAACGTCGGGAAAGGGAATGGATACAACTGATGGTATACCTTTGCTCTCTGTGTCCCATTGGGGACACTTCCAGTCAGTTGCAGCCCCAGAGACACAATAGAATGTGGGAGGAAATCTCCCCAAAGTAAGGGAAATACCCCCTAATAGTTGTCACCGGCACAGGTGTCCTCTCTGTTCCAATGACATTGAAGGTACCTTACAGCTTATTGGGGTACTAGGGATGTGGGTGGGTATTAGGGTTATGGGGTAAGAATTTGGGGGTGGGGTGCCAAGAGTTCACTATAGTTTGCAGCTCTTTCACACTTTTGGGAACTTTGCCTTTTCACTTTGTTTTCAGTGCTGAAAGTCAGGAGATGAAAAGTCCAATGTTGGGCCCCGGCTCCGAACAACATTATTTGCTGTAAATGAGCCCAACTTCCAGATCTCCAATCATTTCCTGAATTTTATATTAGTCTCAGGAGGAATCCTAAAGTGAACCTCTAAACAGACTCTGTACCCCAAGTATAGACCCGCCCCCGAGGAACACGCTATCACATTTCCATGAGTTTTCATTTGAATATTTTGGATGTGTGTCATATTCCCCCCAATAAGCAGAAAAAAAAGTATAAACTGGACCATCTGGACTGTGTTGGGATCTTTGAGAATGAATCGGCTCACAGTACACAGGGAGGGTGCAATGGCACTTTTACTGCTTGTTAAAATACATATTGTCCTTCCTCAGGGCACCTGGACACTAACCAGGTAGAGCTAAAACCTTTTATATGTTGTGAGTGCTGCCTGTCTTCTGCCCGGCTCTTTCCACAACTTCCTAGATTCCCAGCATGCTTTTCAGCTTCTCCATTTCTAAGGATTACATATCTCATGCCGATTCCTGCACTGACTCCACCTCCAGGAAATTCCTTTTCTTAAAAGGTGGGCTCTGTGAACCGTGTGACACAGCAGTGTCTACTCACAGGGCAGAGTGTCTCCATGTCCCAGAATTCCAGGAAGGAGATGTGTAGGGTCTTCACAAACTTCAAGATGGTTCAGAGTAATAGGAGGAGGCAGGAAATCATTGGAATACAATCTAGAGATGAATATAATGATTTTGAGTTTTGACCACAAATACGTTTAAACTTCCAGTTCCGAGTGAATCTTTGAAGTTGTTTTCACCTTTCTCTGTGGAAAATGAGGGTCTCTGCTGATTGTCCCCCTGATGAAGATGTGGGTCTCTGCTGATTGTCCCCCTGATGAAGATGTGGGTCTCTGCTGATTGTCCCCCTGATGAAGATGTGGGTCTCCGCTGATTGTCCCCCTGATGAGATGTGGGTCTCCGCTGATTGTCCCCCTGATGAAGATGTGGGTCTCCGCTGATTGTCCCCCTGATGAAGATGTGGGTCTCCGCTGATTGTCCCCCTGATGAAGATGTGGGTCTCCGCTGATTGTCCCCCTGATGAAGATGTGGGTCTCCGCTGATTGTCCCCCCTGATGAAGATGTGGGTCTCCGCTGATTGTCCCCCTGATGAAGATGTGGGTCTCCACTGATTGTCCCCCTGATGAAGATGTGGGTCTCCACTGATTGTCCCCCTGATGAAGATGTGGGTCTCCACTGATTGTCCCCCTGATGAAGATGTGGGTCTCCACTGATTGTCCCCCTGATGAAGATGTGGGTCTCCATTGATTGTTCCCCTGATGAAGATGTGGGTCTCCACTGATTGTCCCCCTGATGAAGATGTGGGTCTCCACTGATTGTCCCCCTGATGAAGATGTGGGTCTCCACTGATTGTCCCCCTGATGAAGATGTGGGTCTCCACCGATTGTCCCCTGATGAAGATGTGGGTCTCCACTGATTGTCACATTGTGACACTTCAGTTCTGGATCCATCCATCGCTATCACAGCTCAAGGTGACCGAAATCCTTCCACATGTAGAAGATACCAACCCAACATTCAGATTCTCCATCTCCATTCACCACCATACAATTGGATGAGAGCAATTATACTATATTTTTATTTATCATCATTTTTATTGTACAGGATTTATATATTATACAAGATTTATATAGGACCTACAGTCTGCGCAGCGCTTTACACGAGGGCAGTGCAGGTACAATACTATTCAATACAGGAGGCCCTAATGCTGAGCGCTTACAATGCAAAAGCGAGGGTCAGGTGATACAAAAAGGTGATAACTGTGGGGGATGGGCTGATGGAGGACATAAAAGTACACACACACACACACACACGTACAAAACACACACACACACACACACACGTACAAACACACACACACATACACAACACACACACACACACACACACACGTACAAAAACACACACACACATACAAACACACACACACACACACACACACACACACACACACACACACACACACACACACACGTACACACACACACACAACACACACACACACACACACGTACAAACACACACACACACACACACACACACACACACACACACACACACACACACACACACACGTACACACAAAACACACACACATACACACATACAAACACACACGTAACACACACACAGGGTTCCAGTACCACGAAGCCACTTTCCAAGCATCCACGTCCAGTAAGTCACGTTCCAGTACCCGCCCAACCTTCGTTGTTGTTCTGAGAAGTGTTGCCGCCACTTATCATGGAAACCAGCAGAAGTCATTGGGAGTATTTTGGCTCCAGTCATGGCATGGAAACATTTCCACATATTTGTCGGATTGTATAAACCAGACCATAGATTAGTATTGGTTTACATGGAAGGCCGCACGCCGGTGAGCGGATGATTTGCCCGATCTTCTGATGGTGCATTAAGCGCGATGTTACAGCGAAGAGCGCGTCCGTATTTGTTGACATTTCTCACTGGATGGCAAGCCTTTGATTTTCCATCCTAATTTTACGGGGGAAGGGCACGAACAATGTCATGATGTAAAGTCTCAACATGAATGTTTGTCTCGTCTCGGACTTTCTGATCAGAACCTGAAGAATTAGGCTTTGTTGTCTTCCACTGGTCTGCATGTGAATGTAATTAAAGAAGTGAAACGTCTAATCAGTCGTTGGGGAATGTTCCATTTGCAGTCGGATTGTGTTTACGGCATACATGGAAAAGTCCGACTTGCAGATATTCATCCAAACAGAGAAGTCAGGATAATGATGAGTAATGTCTGATTGTCCGTCCCTTCCAGCAGACATCAGAGATTGGACACCAGATCTGGCCATGGATGGTGGAATCCAGGAATGTCTGTATGTGTAGGTGCTCCATGATGTCCTATGAGGAAACCTCTGGGAAATACATTGGCCGGGATGGACCTTCCCAGATGTCTAGTGTCAGTAGGTACCCCCAGGTCCGAAACGCCGGGATTTTCAGAATTTTTTCCGCTTTTATCATTTGTTGGTAAATCTTCTTCTGTTTCACTTGTTGTATCCAATTTCTAGCCATGATTTCCAAGAATTGTCACTTCGCTCCAAACAACGAGGATCAGATCCGGTTTTATGTCTTGGTGGATCGACTTGCAGCTCAAATCTCATCTCTTCTATCTGGAAGGCCAGCAGATTTGGTTTTGGTGATCCCGCTCTTCATTTTGCCTCTAGTTTGATCCAACATTCTACGCCGGGGCACAACTGTAGACT